AAAAAAAAGAACAGTTACACGTTACTAATAGTTCATTGAGGTGACGACAGATTATACAATGAAAATCCTGAACAAATGCATTACATTACATTGAGAAGCTCCGCCGCGGTGGTCTAGTGGCTAAGGTACTTGGCTGCTGACCCGCAGGTCGCGGGATCAAATCCCGGCTGCGGCGGCTGCATTTGCGATGAAGGCGGAAATGTTGTAGGCCCGTGTGCTCACATTTGGGTGCACGCTAAAGAGCCCCAGGTGGTCGAAATTTCCGGAGCCCTCCACTACGGCGTCTCTTAAAATCATATGGTGGGTTTGGGACGTTAAAGCCCACAAATCAATCAATCAATCAATCATTACACTGAGAATAGTATGGCTCGCTAACATTGCGTATATTATGGACCAACAACTTTCAAACTGCGCTAACATCTGAAATGACAACTATCTCAATATAGATAAATGAAATCTCGAGGTTGCTGAGGCTAAAATTACATCATAACTTTTTTTCATAAGTGGATTTCCACTAAAGTACACCCAACAATACCGAGGAACCTTATTGAGTCAAAGCTTTACGTAAAAAAAGAAGTACATCCGTGACTGAATTTGGAAGGTAGATGATCCCATTAATTTCTCGCATTCGGGACCAGGCTTCGTATCTTTTTTACTTTATAAGTATGACCGCACTTACAAGTTAGCAATTTCAAATTAACAGGGGCGGCGCCAGGGGGGGGGGAAGAGGGTGGGCTGGAGTTCCCCAAAATTCTCGCCTGCCCCCCCTATGCCCACCCAAGTGCCCGGAAGCATATATTGAAAACCTAGTAGGAGCAGAGCTAGCAACCGACGGCTTGCCCCCCCGGAGGAACTCACTTTTCGTGGTTGCCCCCCCCCCCCCCCAGTAAAAGCATCCTGGCGCCGCCCCTGTTAATTAATAAAGCACTGGCGTCAACCCTAGATCGCATGGCGCGTTGGTGAGATGCACTCGTTGTCAGCGACAGGCACTATTACCAGGAACGAAGAAGAAATCGCCGCGTACCACGCGTCAACATACACAACCGGCGGCTGGGTGACTGTCCTTCGAACCAGGCCGGGCCGTTTGAGTTAATTTCAAGTTTTCCCCGAAAACAGTGTATCGCTCATTTTAAAAAATACGCCGCATTGAATCGGTGCTCGAACACTGTACCGAAGAATGTTTCGAATATGTCCGGTTTTTACTTGTAACATCAGAAAACTACGTCATGTGCAATCTCGCAAAGATGAGCAACGGCTACAGCTAGGACTATGCAGCGCCCGCTTCCTAACCCATGCCCATTTTCGCCACCGTGAGCCTGACCGCCAATTCACATATGGCACTCAGATAACAAGGGCAATTACAGGTACTGCTGATATTTACTCACCTTTTATTTCAACTTGAATAAAAAGCTCGTCACTGCTCGGCAGTGACATCCACCCGACTTGCGAACAAGGCGAAGACGGCGCAAAGTCAGACACGCGGTGGAAGGTGAAGGCGAGCATAAACAATGCATGCGTGTAAACTGGCTTAAAGCTAGATGAATTGCAGTATTTTTAATGACTTTTGGTACTATTACGTATGCGCTTAACAGCCGTTGCAGTTTGTGGGCTTCTGTCTTCTTCCACGTGGAGTCGACTCCCTTTGTTCACGTCCCGACCCCGTGACACCTGGTGGAGGTGCTGCTTCGTGCATGTACTGGACACCCCCGTGGGGGCGTGAACCCAGCCCACGTTGCGAAGAAGACACCAACGCCAGCCACGAGCACTGAACAGACCGCAGGCAGCAGGGTTTATCTCCGGAGCACGGGTCTCTACAAGACGAGGCTCGGATGACCAAGGTGATGACCTCGACTGCGGCAACGATGACGACTGCTGCACCGCAGCCCGCTATCGTGATGCAGCAGCCAAGGCAACCACCGATTTTTCATGGGAGATCGTTTGAAGTACCGGAGACTTGGCTGGAGACCTACGACCAAGTGACTGCCCTTAAACACTGGGACGTGGAGGAGAAGCTGCTTGGATATATAGGGAAAATAATGGTCATGCTTTGCAAACAAGCGCCCTTTATACAGGCCTCATAATACATGATTATGATTGTAATATTGTGTGGTACAAACGTACATTCCCATCGGGCTTCAGAACATGTGAATATGACAATGACTTCGTGGTTTGAAGTCGGCCACCGATCACAAAAGGCACGCACGTTACTGCGCGTATTCCCTTAAATAGTAACTCCGACGTTTCTTTATGACATACAGCCATTTCCATAAAACTTTGAACATGTGTTCCCGTTGGTACCGTAGTGATATGCGCCAAATTATTCAACCTTATGTCGTTTAGTTTTTCAGAAAATAATTACTAAAATTGGTAGCCGATTTTCGAATCTAACTTGTAAACGCAAGCCACCCAGGGTATGTGACGTAAGGGCCTACTCTTTTTCAAGAGATCCGCTTTTTGCTGTTGACGGATGAAGCGCGCGCTTTCTTCTACGAAGCAACGACAACGCGAGCACAATTCGGTTTCGTCAGCTACATACAGTGTGTTAGTCGTCGTTGACGTCGCGTCTTACAATATTAAGCAACGAGGAAACCAATTTGGGGAAGGTCAGATGCTTCATGCACCGAAGAGTAAAAATCGAAAAAGCGATGCTTCCGTAATGAGATAGTAGCTGCAATAATCGCTGAACTTCACGGGTAGGTTCAGACGAGCTGGCACATCTTAGTTCCGCGTCAGATGACATTGCCAACTTAGTTTTTGCCCGTCAGAAGAAGCAAGAGAGCCGTGTTTGCACTCTGCCCAGTTGTAGCGGGGAAGGAGGGGGGGTAGCGGATCTCGAGACGTCAATGGCGATGGATTCTCGCGACGTCATCCGATACCCACTATGCATGACGAAGCAGCTCCCTGTTTCGGTTTCTGTTTTGACTGGCCGTTTATTGTTTAATTGAAATCATTGAGGGGTGCCAGGGCAAAATGAACCACCCTAGCTTTTGAAAGGTGGTCAATACCATTTTAAAACAGCATTATCTCGGTATTGTCCAAATTGCACCGGAGTTTCCCTTTAAGACCACGTAGTGGGTGCGTTGCAAGCTTGAAAAGATTTCACGCGTATAATTGCTGGTAGTTTGAAGCATGCTACCCATTACACAGAATACAGCCTATGCGACTGATTCGCTGAGACAAAGCCACTTTGAACTTTATCAATTACAGCGCAAAAATCTTCACAATAAAATTCTCAAGTAACACTGTACCATGAACAGTATGCACTAAAGGGTGGAAGTACACCATGTATGGATATGATATTTCTATTGCGTTCAACGCTTATAGGCGAAGCTTAAGGATCCCCCAGTTTTTCTGACGACTGGCGGAACGTATCGTCTTTTATGCCGCAGCAATCGGAACTTTTAGTGTCATCACTGATTACCGTGTAAGCTCTAGAATAAATTGAGCTATTCGAGTACCGCACGTGATTTTAACAAAATCATTAAAGATAATTGCGACTCACGCTTTTGAGGCTTAAACTTGAACACACCAAAATCTCTAAAGAAATGGGCGTGTCATTGCCTCGCCCCGAAGGAAGTGACAGGACATGGAAGTGAAAAAAATGCATGTAATAAAAAGAACAATTATTAGGGAAACAACACCAGAGCCCCCACTTTCCTTACGTTTATAGAACAGCTTAAAAGGATCCTCCGGGAATTTATGGGTATTCACTGATTTCCATGAAAATTTGATCATGTTTTTCTTTGGTACTGTGGCGATATGCCCCAAAGTATGCAACCGTAAGTAATTTAGTTGTTTGAGAAAACCACTTTTAAAGATTGCTTGCCAATTCTGAAATCCCACGGGCGAACTCGGGTCACTTGTGCGTGTGACGTAAGTGCCTATTCTTTTCGAGAACCTCGCCTCGCCCAGCAGACGGATGCAGCGCCCGCATTCTTCCACGAGGAGATCATGACGTGAGCTCAGTTAGTTTTGTAAGCTGCATACAGCGTGTTAGTTGTCGTTGACGTCGGGTCTTACTCTGACCCCAGTATTTAGAAACGTTCTTTGACTTGAACTTGACTTGCCACCGCCGTCAGTGCAGCACGTTTGGAACGTGTTCGTGCTGCCTTGGCATAGCCTAAGGCATAGCCTAAGCAGCATAGCCTTTGGCATAGCCTTTGGCATAGCCTAAGGCAGCACGTTCGAAACGCATTTGTGCTGCATTGAAGGCTATGGCAAGTCAAGTTCAAGTCAAGGAGGATTTCTGAATACGGGAGTAATTTTGCACGACATTGAGCAACGAGGATATCAATTCGGGGCACTTGGGGAGGTGTCTCGAAAGTAAGTCACATAAAAATAATCAGCACATTGGGTTAGTTCGCATATGTTAAGGAAGCGCACCTTTGTCCATCGTATCAGTACCTAAAGGAAACTCTAATCGGTAACTTCACATAGCACCATCAATTCACAACAAAAAAAAAACTGCAAAAAAAATATTTAGCGTTCCGATCTCATCAAAATATGCTTAGGGTACGTGAACAACATTTTGAGTACTTATGTGTTCTCATGGCATAACACAACCTTTTAAATTGCACCCCATAACTATGTTGTGGTAAATAAGAATCCAGGTTATATGGGGGCTTCATTTTGCTGCATTGAAATTACTTTACGTTTCGCAAGCAGACAGAACCCAGCGGAACATAAGCATGGTCTCGGAGACACACAACACCTAATAGTCACTACCGATGACTGTGCCCCATTTTGCATGCTTACTTCTGAAAAAAAAGAAGTCGAGTAATTGAAAATAATATATAACTGTAACTATTCAGAAAGTCTTTCCCTAATAAGTGTTGCTCCCAGCTATGCTTACAATGCAGTGAACGTTTAAATCACGTCTTCGTTTTCTTGTTAATAAATTTATCTGAGAGGGTACATGCTGCTAACTTCTGCTGACACGTGGGACGAAAACGAGGGGCGCCTCTGCAGTGCGTGCGTCTTCCAGTAGGTTCCCGGAAGCCATGGCGGGCCTGGGTGAGCCAGAGACTCAAGTCGTCGACCCTAGAGGTCCCCTGCCCTGCCGTCTGGTGCTCGAAAGAGACGAGGAAGTGGTCGGGCGCCGCAGTAACTGCAGCATACGTGTGCGTTCCGCCATTGTGTCAAGGCACCACGCCATCTTCAGACGCGACGAAACGGGTCAGTGGCGAGTCGCGGACTATTCGAGTTTGCACGGTGTGTACGTAAATGGCCAGCGAGTCGAGACGGAGAGGCCGCGGCTTCTTCGACAGGATGATGTGATATCGCTTGGTCCACCGCAGCGAACCAAGCTACATTTTCGATTCGTCACAGACGACCCTCCGCATCGAGGTGGTGATGCAGGTCAACGTCTGACGGATGCGACCACCTCTAGACCTCGCACATTTCTCATCATGACCGGTGGTGGTGGCGCCAACCAGCTTCCAAGAGAGCGCGACAGTGGCAACGAAGTCTCGAACCGGTCGGCAGCGCCCACGGCTGATGAAGGCGAAAGTGACTCGTCGCCCGCTTGGTCCCCCGATGGAGACAACAACAAGGTTCTGCAGCACGCTGAATCACCCAACAGATTCGCAATGGTGGGCCGGAGTGATGCCTTCTCCGAGCACAGCAAGACCAGGCTGTCCTTATGCAACAATGCAGTGCGCAAAGTCGAAAGCATCATGGAGAACGAGCTGACGTGTGCTATCTGCAGCGAGCTGTTCGTGGAAGCCGCCATGCTTCAGTGTGGTCACACTTTCTGCTCATACTGCATTCACCACTGGAGGAAACAGAAGAACATGTGTCCTTTCTGCCTCACCGCAATCAGCTCCGTCACAAGGTCCTTCATTGTGGACAACATCATCGACGAACTGGTTTGTTTCAAACCAGAGCTTAAGCGTGTTCGGGAGGCTGTGGCACGCTCCAGATCAGCAGCTTCAAAGGGTCACCCTTAAAAGCACTGATGAAAAACTTGGAGCTTTTGTGGTGATTATAATTACGCTGTGTACATTTTCTACCTGTGTGTGTGTTATTTGTTATCGTTTTCTTAGCTTTCACCTCTCGATATTTTCATTTTTGTTTCACTCCAAGAAGAAGGAGGCGGGAGCACTTGCAACAAAACACGTTTCATTACAGGCTACATGGTACAGATCAATCGAATTTCGAATGAAAGTCTGATTTCTTTATTAATATTGGTGTGAAGGATTATTTGGCTTTTTTCTTGTAAGGATAAGTATCTCGAAATATCTCGTCTTGCATTTTGCGAAAGTGGAGAGGACACTGTAAGAAGATAACAACCTGTCTAACCTAAACAAAATTATTCTTGCACGAGCATGTCCCCTAATTTTTGTTTTCGTAACTATTGCGCGTGTGAGTATGCAAGGGATGGCTCGTGTGTGATCCCCAGTGCGTTCCGTTGGATTGCATCTTAGCTGCAGGCTTTGACTTCGAAACAATAAAATAAGCAATACGTCCATCAAAACTGACACCAAGTGGAAGATGAATTAATGAACAATGTCGTGTAGCAAGCCGATTGTGTCAGCGAAGAAGAAAAAAAAAGCTATTGGATGGTTGGAGGATTTTTATATGTAGTCCTGGTGAAACGCGACTATAGCATGCAGTGAGTTTCTCCCACGTTGGGACGAGCAGGCTAAGCCTGACCACCACATCTTGTGCGCTCTAGATGGCCGAAAGCTGATGCCCATGTTGAGGCTTTTGACGGTAGAGCAAAACTTGATGATTTCATAAGTGTGGTTTAACGTTCGAAAACCACCATATGATTATGAAAGACGCTGTAGTGGAGAGCTTCGGAAGTTTCTACCTCCTGGAGCTCTTCAACGTGCACCCAAATGAGAGCACACGGGGCACACCACTTGGCCGGGAGGATTTGATCACTGCCCAGTAACAAGGAGCATCACCAGAGGATGTGCTCTCAGCTACTTTCCCTGAGCAGGGGCACGAGCTTGTAGTGTAAGTGTTGGGGTGAACCATATGGAAGATAACCAGATTAGGACATACATGCGTTTGTAAGAATCTCATTGTTATCGCTTGGGCTCTGTGTAGCTCTCTGTGAGGAGGGGAGTAGACCAGTCTGTTTAGGTACACTCTAAAGAAAGAGCGGGTAAAAAGGGTGTATTTTTATCCCACAACAATAATCGTCATCCATATTGAGTTCCATCCTTGCGCTATCGCCCCGCGCCCGCTACATTCCGGTCACTAGCGACATGCCCATTATCAGGGTTACATTGCATTCTCGATAGGAAATTGGCCAGCACCGAGTTTTCAAAAAAGGGAGCGCACTCAAGTCTGATGACGAATATCGTTGTGGGACAAAAAGACACCCTTTTGCTCGATATTTTTTTTAAGTGTAGAAGTGCTGCGTTAGCTCATTGTATGCCGTGGGCTGATTTCTATTGTCCAACGTCGTGGGCTGAGGAAAACCACTGGGGGTGCGGAATGTCATACCGTGGCTTTTGAAGCGAACCTGCTCGTCTAGGTTGGCGCCTCCTTCAAAATGGTCTATGTGAGCCGGGAACCACGTTAAGATGTGGTTACAGATGTCTTTTTCACCGAGAATGTGGTGTGCTTTTTTACCGAGAAAAAGCGAAGGTACGGATGGCGGCTCGGGAGTCATGAATATGTTCACGTCCTTACCGTCGAGAAAAGCAATGGAGATGTCCACCTGCTCGGCAGCCCTCGACGAGGAACGTTCGATCGATATGATGTTGATTTCCAAACCAGCCTGCTCTACCGAGACCACCGCGTATCTGTTGCTGCCCTCGCACTGGCCTGCATCAGCTTGCTTCAGGGATCTCTGCTGCTAAGCGGAGGAATACAGCTGCCTTGCCCCTTCTTCCCATGTTTCGTAGCTGATGCATATTGTGTGAAATGCGCAAAATGATGATTTTCTCACGTTAATGTTTTGTCAATTCCTGATAATTGTCCTCTAGAATGGCCGGTGGGATGCTAATATTCATGAGGGGTTGCCTCCCAGCCTTCGTTTCCGCAAGTCTAGTGACGTGTGCTCTCTCCCGTGCCTCCGCAATCTCCTCTAGTGTGTTGTGCAATCCCAGCTGGAGGAGTAGTTCCGTTTGCGCGTAGTTCGAGACACGATGAGTGCTATGGACGGCTCTTCAAATCATGACTTCTAGTCTTTCCCGCTCAGCTCTCTTCCAGACATGCGTGGCCATGACGCAGGTGAATTGGCATAGTAAAAACGTGTGAATGATCCTGACCTGGTTACATTCTGCAAAACTACTGCACCTGTTCGCGACCCCCCTAATAAGACCGGTGGTGCCGTTCATGTTTTTCGCGAGACCAAGTGTCGTTTGGCTGTTTGTGCCTGACGACTGTGAGATAATGCTACGATCATGAAACTGTCCGGAATGGCCCTATTTCTCAGTTCCATGTCGCCGACCTTGAGCAGGGTGTGGCGTCCCTCGAGCAAATATTGAATGAAAACATGAAAGGCGGCGCGTAGGTGTATGTTCAAGGTTGCATTCAGAATGAATGACTTACGTTATCGTGCACCTCTTTCACGTCGACACTGATAATGAACCTCGCGTCTCGGGCGTTACTGTCGAGAATCTGAGTCTTGATGAGCCTCAGAACATCCTGAGTTAAAAGATCGGGACTAAATGCCACCATGTTGTGGGGAAACAGCTCATTTTTTTCGATAAACCTTGTGATCCTGTTGGGGATGGCATGCTTTGCCACCTTTACAAGAAAGGGTGTAAAAGAGATTGGCCATAGGCTTTTACAGCTTAGTGGCTTTCCGGGCTTAGGAATGAGGACGACGCGCGCAATATTCTGTTCAGAGACTGTGACCTTATTCTAAATGCGGTAGATTTTATTCGCGAGAAACTCGACCGATTCGCCCTCGAGCTTTCTGCGTGCCTTATGTACGTCCGGGGCCGGTGTGGATCTACCGCTGAGGTCCTGCAGATCTCTCGGGATCTCCTTAATGATGAATGGTTCATCATGAGCGGAGTTTGGTTTTTCGCGGTATTCGGTAGTTGCCACCATCACTCGTTTGCAGATACAAGTACTTTTTGGCAAGATAATCCAAAATTTTCTCCTCTGTTGATGGCCTCGTGGCTTCATGGAGGGTCTTGGCCAGTACTGTTCTCCGATTTGACATGGTTCCGGTCTCGTCGAGGAGGTGTTTCAGGAGATTTCACCTGCCCCGCGTCCGCACCTGATCATCGCTAGAATTGCCGATGTCATCAAGTTTTTGTCCAGATAACGTTCGGCAGTGTTCCTCTATCACTTTGTTGAGTTAAGAAAATTTTTTCTGGAGCTTGCGCTGAAGTCGCTGGCCCTTCAATGTTTCGAGGAGTGGCTGCTTGAACTCGAGGAGGTGCACAAGTCGGCTGTCCATCTTCTCTGTCTGAAAGTCTGTCTGCATCACCTTGGTGGATTCCCGGAAATCCCACACAGCTGACTCGTTTTAGGCGGATTTAGCCGAACCTGTCTCAGTCGGCAAATGAGACGGCCCGAAGCTTTTTCTGCGAAACTTCAAAGCTGATCATAGTTATACAGTGATCGCTGCCAAGATGGAACATGAGGTTGGATTACTTGACCGATTGAATGTTATTGTGAAAGGTGAGTTCTGGTGTAGGGTGTAGAGTCTGATAGAGATCTAATGTTATTCTATAGTAGGCCCCAGCGATCGCAGTCGCCTACCAAAAACGAATTACCTTTTCGTTTCACTTTAACTCGAATGCTCCGACGCGTCGCCTCGGCTCACTTGAGCTGAGGTCAGCGCCGCTAAGCGTTGAAAGTGAAATGCTTGCTGCAGTTAGGTATAGATGCAGTGCACATCGGTTTCACGAGTAAAGTTCTCTTTCCAGTCCGCTTGACCGACGAGTCGAATGCACTCCCTTGGCATCCTGTTTTCGGCACGTTTTGCTCGTGACTACGTTATCACACGCGCCCATGGCGTTCGTTGTCGTACACTTATCTTGACAATGAACTATAGCTTGCGACCGCTTACGCACCTTTCGAGTTTTAAAGCAGAGCAGAACAGAACACACGCCCATTTTTGACATTCGTAGAAGTTTCACGACAAATAAATAAGTCTGAAATGCGGTAACGCTGTTTATGTGCTGGTTAATTAACTTTTCGTGCAGTGGTAATTCAACTGTTCTCGCACATTAGTCGACGCCTTCCTGCTCGGTTTACGCTGCTGAAAGATGTGGTTTTGGAGCGAAAGTTTGTGCGTGTTATATTATCGGGGCTTTAAAGTCCCAGAACCACTTTTTGTTTATGAGGGGCGCCATGGTTCAGGACTCCAGAAATTTTGACTACCTGGGGTTCTAAACGTACACCTCAAGGTGCACCTATATTTGGTACACCTAAACGTGCACCAAATATAATTACGCATGCCTAAACAGTTCATTTGTGCATATTGTGAGCAAGGAAGACGCGTGGATCCGACGCAAAGAAAGCAATTGAAGTGCATAGTTAAAAGCGCGAAGTCTCATCTTGTGAAATAGGATACTTAGTCTTTAGGCAAGGGTAGTACGATTTGATGGAATTTTCTTTTCCAAAGCGACACAGGCTCTGGCTGCCGTTGTACGAGTCCTTGAAGATTTTGACCATCTGTGTTTCTTTCGCGTGTTTTGCAGTAGCGTGTCTTCAGGCTTATTCATGTTCTGGTGTGGTTGATGTGATAGGTGTCTTCATGTGATTTTAGGGGCGAAGCTCCTCTTAGACTACCCTTGTCCAGCGTCTGGTGTAATCGGCAGTATCTTCCGAACAGTATAATTGATGGCGCTGTCTCATCACCGTTTATTGTCTTAATTCCTAGAGTACATTGGTCCAGTAGAAGTATGTGCAATAGTAAAGGATGGACGCACGAACGAACGGATGAAGCGAAGATGGATGTACGCATTGTTGTGATCCCGGGGTGCTGTGGTCGAATCCCACCTCTGCCAACCAGTTGTTGCGGGTC